ATCTAATAACTTAATTAAATAAGACAGAATTAAAATTTTATTTTGAAAAAATAATCTATTAATGTTTATCTGAGATATAAATTTTTTTGTTCTGGGCCATACTTATAAAATAAATTTATTTTTATTTCAATTCGAATTTTTTATTAATTTATCATTTTTATAAATAAGAAATTCTTTCTGTAAGCACGTATATTAAAGAATTATAGCTATTTAAGTATTATATTTCTTTGCTTGATTTATTAGTTAATTATACATAATTTGTTCTATTTAATTCTGTTTTTACTTATTTTTTACCTCTTATATACTTACTAACATCCCATTCAACGCGCGTTAATAAATATCCATGTACATTTTCTTGTAATTTTTTGAGATTAAGTCTAAATTAGATCAAGAATTGAAATAATTAGAGAATATTTGAAATGAAATCTTTCTAAATCTTTTCTTATTTCTACAAAAAAAATCTACTAGGATGAATTAAAAAAAATTACGGAATTATAGATAGATGGATCTTAGAAAAACCAAGTCTCGGTAATTCCGAATGGGAGCAAAAAAAGGGGCGCTTTTGTGATTTCTTAATTATCACTTTAATCCCACATGCACTTTTTACTATTACGTTATTAAGACGTTCATGCCTCAATATTGATTAATAAATATGCAAAGAGAGATATTTTTTAAATCAAGAAGATATCATTAAAAAGCTTTTAAACGGGGAAATCGAAGCAAAAAACGCATCAATTTTTTGATATAACAGAAAACTTTGTCGTGATTTTATCGTATTTAAAATGGTTAGAAGGATTTCAGCATAAAGAGACATTTTAGGTTTCAATTGATTTGTGTCATGTGCTGAAACTGAATGGCGCAGTGTGTAATGAACCTAAAAAAAGTATGATAAAATAACCACATTTCAATAAAAATGAATGAGAATTAGAACTAAAGAGATCGAATTCAAGACTAAGTCCATCGTCATATTTTAAGATTAAAAGATAAAGATAAAAAAATTTCTCGTTGATTATATCACACTTATCTCCAAATAATGCGATTTCTTGAGGAATGGATTTAATTATCAAGATTACGATTGTCAATGAAGGTAATTCTTGCTGTGGAAATTTTTTTTGTGGGGTAAAAAATAATAATAATAAACATTGTCACGAACAGCCGCTAACTTTCACACACTCTAAAAATGGGAGTAGGATTTTCAATTATATCATAATATGTATGTGTGCGTATATATATATATATATATATATATATATATGCACACATAAACACAGGTGATAAGAACATTTTCTTAAATAAGTAATTTCAGCTGATTTTTTTACACTATGTTATAACAATTATCATTCTATAAGGATGTATAAAAAAAAAGAGGTACACATGTGTACAAGTTTCTTTGTTGTGTGTGTGAAAAGAAAGATACCACATCACCTTTCTTACGTTTTACTTTAATGTACAATATAAATAAACATATGTAGATTATAAAAAAGCAAAAGTGTTAAAGTTTACAATAAATAATCTCAGTTTGTTTATTTTTGATTTAACTTGATGATAGTAGTGAATTTTAAATATTAGAAGTTAAACGAACGGAGAAAAAAAAAACAAGAGATACCCAAACAAAAATAAATAAATTGATTACGTGTACATATAATCATCGTCATCATCGTCAACTTTATCCAAAAGAACAAGGAGACCAAGTACTGAACAAGAATCAGAGAAAAAGAGAAGCAACCGGAATAAAAAAAAAATCACTACCACACACAACAATAAACAATATATATATCATTTACAGCATACACACAGCAAAAAAAGAATTTAAGCTCGCTCTCCATTCTTGTGTGTAATTATTTGGTTGGTTTTTTTTTAATTACTTTATTTATTTATTTATTTTTATTTTATAATTTTTGTTTAAATACTCTTAGTGGCAGTAAGTAGTATAAATTTCTACAATAACCTAAAGAGACCTTTATTTAATTTTGTTGATTTCCTTCCCACTTTTTCTATTAGAGAGAGAAGAAAGAAAAAGCGGAAGAGAAGTGCGTTTACAGGCAGACATCCTTACTTATTCATACTCATATTCATTACCACCACTATAATTAATTTAAAAGTTCACATTCCTATCCGTAATACTTTTTCTTTCACTTCCACTTTACATTACATGCAGAAAATCTTTTAAATGCATAATAGTCTGTCCAAAGGATTTAAACGCGCGCCTCTTTCTTTGCTTTTTCTTTCTTGCTAAAATCTCTTAACAATAACGATTGATCAATCAATCAATTAATTAATTGGTCAATTGACGCTCAATACATGGTAAACAACAACAATAAATAATATCTCTTTATTTATTCCTTAAATTACTGAAAACAACTTTTTTAATTCTTTTGTGTATAATATAACATATATTCTTTTTTTAACATTATAATATTTTTTTATTGGGTTGAATTTTAGTCTCAATCAAAACAAAGCAAGAGCGCCGGAATGCTAAATCGTTACTACAATTATTAGAAGACTATTCAAAATATCAACAATATAGTAGTTGATCTACCAAAAACCTATTTACAATTATAGTAACAGTAACAGCAACAACGACAACAATCGTCATAATCGTCAAGAGAAATTATTATATAATCATTAATCAAAAATGACACTACCGCAATATTATTCAACTGATAACAACAATAACCATAATACTCTTATGGAACATCACAATTCCCTTCTTGGTCATCAGCAACAACACGAGGAACAACAACTATCTCAATATATGAGACAAACGTCAGATTCGATGCAATCTTCTAATTCTCCATCATCATCTGCAACTTATATGACTACCATAACATCACACACAAATAATAATAGCAATAATAATAATAGTAGTAGTGGTGGTAGTGGTAATAATAATAATAATAGTAGTAGTAGTAGTCATGCAGATGGTTACTCGAGTCATGATCAATACCAGCAACATCAACATCTACACGATCAAGAAGGATTGCAACAACAAACTCAATTTGATTTCGTGACATCTGCTGGCCATGTCGAATTAATGCCTGAACCACCACCATATGAACGTAAGTGATTTATAATAAAAATAATTCGATTTGAGCAAATCTAAAAATGATACATAAATAAATATATTATATAATGCCGAATAGAATTTAACATTGAGTGGCCAAGTATTCCGATCCCAATACCAGCCGATCCCCCGGAGTTCATGTTAGGAGGTGGTCAACAGCAATTGTTTGAACCCGAAGAACAAAGTTTTCTATTTGATAAATTCGTTCAATATTTTGATGTTGATCCAGGAAATCAGAATTTTATGCTTACGCCAGAAATGCAATTTTACCCATCACAGTCACCTTCAAATGGTACGACCAATAATCATCTTATTGCTGATGGCTCAACTTCGGTTTCTGTGGTTGATACAAACTCTTCGTCCTCTTCTCATATTTACGGGGGAAATGGAATAACAAATCTTGATGGTATTAATTCTAGTTATCATCTTCACCATCATCCACAACAACAACAGCAGCAGCAACAGCAACAGCAGCAACAGCAACAGCAACAGCAGCGACAACAACAAATGGATGAAGCTTTTCTCAGCTCTAATTCAACGAGTCTGTCTCCTCGAACTCAGAATCTTCAATTAACAACATCACCAAAGTCACAAAGTTCTCCTGATTTCAGTAATAATAACACCAATGATACCAATCCTATCACCACAAACACTTCGATTAATAATAACAGTAGTAACGGCGGCAATGGTAACTTAAATCGTAAACGTAAACAAGCTGAAGATGAAGATCAAAGATCAACGAGACGTTTTTCACATCCTCGAGTATCACCAATTAATACAAAATCTGCATCTTCAGTACGAAATGGACAATCAACAAATATTTCAAGACCAAGTTCTCCTTTGCAAATATCGAATCTTTCCATTAATAATGCAGGATCGTCGTCATCAGCATCAATATCATCCTCATCATCCAATAACAATAGTAATAGTAACAGTCAAAGCCATCATCAAAATGGAATTTGCTCAAATACAAACACATATAATAACAATGACAATAACAACAATCATGTGAGCAACGATTCTCCAGGATTCACTCCGCCAACTCCAAACAGAGATTTACCACAAAAAGTAGAATCCTCTTCGTCAGCAACCACCACCACCACCACCACCACTACTACTACTAATAATAGTAATAATAATAACAATGAACTAAGCATAGGAATAGCAGAAGATGACGACGATGAAAATGAAACATCCACCGCAGCAATGATGATGAATGACATTGATATTAAGTCCGAAACACAAGAATCTTCTTCGTCATCAACGTTGAAATCAAGTCGAAAACCGTACAAAGAATTACTCACAGAGGAAGAGAAACGTGCAAATCATATTGCATCTGAACAAAAAAGACGAAATACAATCAGAGCAGGATTCAAAGAACTCACCGATATCATACCGACACTCAAGAACGTCAATAATTCGAAGAGTACGGTATTGTTTAAGGCGGTTGATTATATAAGATATTTGGAGAGACGGAATCGTAATCTGAAAGAACGTGCTAATCTGTTGGAAATGCGAGTTGAGATGGAAATAAGATCTGGTCGAAGTATTCATCATCCTAGCGCTTATGGATTTGGACATCCCAGGATGCCATCAATGCCATTTAGTCACGTGAGCCCTACTTATGGCATAATACCGGGTAACATGAGCCCTACTCTAATAACTGGACATCCTGCACAACATGTTATGGGTGGACCAGCAACAGCATCGACACCTTCCCAATTCTACGAACTTCATCATCAACCAATGGCCACTGATGCAAAAATAGCAATGCCTATGACATCAAATGCGGATGACAATGAATTACTTCATCACCATCACCACCTTTCACAACTTCATCATCATGCACCTAACGGTGGTACACTAGATATTGATAATAATCATAACAGTAGTAATAACAGTAATAATTCGAATGGCTCCGTAATGGTAAAAAGCTAAATCAAGGTCGCTGCGGGAAAGCGGAAATGATTTGTTTTGTATTTATTTATTTATTTATTTATTTATCTTAACCTTTTCGTTAATGATTTTTTTAATTAATTGATATTCACTCTAATGAATATTCCGCTTTCCATTATTGCGTACACGATACACCGAATTATTAGCATTATCATTCCTTTCTCTTCTTCCCACTTAAAAAAACGGCATTCAGAGAGACAAAGATGAAACAACTTGCCCAAAAACAATAAAGAATCGAGAACAAAACATTCTTTTGATATTTTGTTTTTTATTCACAACCAAAATTACATGTATACATCGACGGTTCAGTTTATATTAACAATAAATATTTCCATTATGAACAATACAACACACCAAATTCACACACTCATGCATCATTACCGATTTTTTATGGCTCTCATTTATTTATTGTCATTCGATTAATCGTTTTTTAAATCTTACATCCCTTTTCTTTTGTTCATCATATAAATATGTGTATTGTGATTATTCCTTATTTTATTCTCACCTTTATTGTCGATATTATTTTATGTGTTGTTCCCCAGGGATATATCCCAAATCGAAATATAGATCATTTTCCTATACCATTATTCCCATTCTAATTTGTGATTTGGGACACGACATATATATAATTTTTTGTCTTCGTAGTTTTTTAAGTATATGATTGTTAAAAAAGATAATGGTCATTTCCTTCCTTGCTCATTTTATTCTCGTCCGCATTCTTTTTGTTCAGAATTTTTTGTTGATTATGAGGAGAAGCGAATAAAATAAAAAGGATGACAAAAATAATATATTGTTAATAATCTCTCTGGCGGTTTGCTTCAATTCCGGTATATCGATATCAATATCATATAATTATATAATAATAGAAACTTTTTTATAAGTATTAAGAATTTATTATAAAAAATCGTCTTATCGTTATTATAATAAGCATCAATATATCAATTTTTTTATTATAGAAAATAGCGAACTTAAAATTTTAACGAACTTTTTTAGCAGAACCACCGGTTCAATATAGATAATTCTAATATTTAATTAATTTTATTTCATATCTTTGATATAGAAAATAATTTTTGTAAAAAATTGTAAGTAAAATTTATAAGTTTATTAAAATCACAAGTTTCTCATAAGTTTACAAGTTTCTCATAATTTTAAGTTACGTTTTTTGACAGAGATGTTTTGATTCCAACAATAAAAGATTCATTTATTAACTCGATCTTTCTTATTAAGACTTTGAATAATGCTCATTACTTCACCATCCATCATCCTGAACTGAGCCATTAAGAAGATATCTTGTTCTGCCTTGGGAAGGGCTTGAAAGGTCTCGCGTAATTCAGCAAACTCTTTCTTTAGGGACCATGACTAAGCAACTACAATTGCAACTATCTCCAAGAAACGTATTGTTTTTTCATATTTGATAGAATTATTATATTCATAAATAATCCTATATAATTTTAAAAATGAATTCATTAATAATAATGATTAAACTTAGAACATTCTGCATATTGTCATTTGCTATAAACTCAGCTATTACATCGGCGCGTTATTTCGAATCACGGCCGTATTAAGCTTAATTCAGGCCAAAATTCGAAATTACACCTCCTACGCGCGTTATTTCGCGAAAAGGTCTTATTTTTTTCACAAAACTCTCATCGACTATCAGTCACACGATTTGTCACACGTAAAAATTAAACATATTATGTCGATCGATTTAAAAATCGATTAATCATACATGTGAATTTCTTGTCCAAAGTCTTAGCCAAAATGCACAAAGTTCCCTAAAACAAAATTATTGTTGAGGTTTCTGACGAACAGAGCAGTGCAAAGATCACGAAAAACTAATGTCTCCCTGTAAAGTGAAACGTCTTCGAAATTGGCATCCATTTTGCCTATTTTTGCTAAATTATTCTTCAGTTCACAAATTCTTGCCATAAAAAGTGATTTACCAGATGTATCCAAGCAATAACCATTTACAAAGTTTTACCTCAAGGAGTTAGTGCATTACAAACATGTGAAAGAAAATTAGAAAAAGCTGTTTCATGGTATAATATAGATAATAGCATTTCTTTTAATTAATAAAAATTTTTTTTATGATTATTAGAATGTATCTATTTGATCAAATATGAGTTGAAATATATGCAAGATTTAAAATTTCTTATCTGTTTACACAAATACTAATTATTATTCTTAGCCAGTACTTCAAGATTTTACTAAATAAAAAAGAAGATAATATAAAAGTTATAATGATAATTTATTTTGAATTATATAGATTCTAATATAATATTTAATTCAAATTCATCTCAAAATATATGTATATATATCTTTTTTGATCTCTTATATTGATTATATCATTAATTTCAAACTTATTTTGGTATTTAATAATTAGTATATTATAATAACTTTTCTATCAGCTTATTAATAACTTTTCTGAATAATATAGTAGAGTTTTTATATATTTTAAGCTATTTTAGGTATTATTTTTTAATCTTTATGAATTTATATTTTATTAATATAATATTTAAAATATGAATTCAGAAGACAGATTAATTTCAGATAATAATAATAATTACAAGTTTTTTTATTAATTTTTTTAACTTTTATATTAATTAATTCTGGATTGATTTTTTTAATTTCTATATTAATTAGTTCTGAAACTTGTACAAAACTACTATCTCTTATTTTTACTTTTATTTTTGATATATAATTAGTTTTTTTTTATTAGCTTCATAGATATTAGATTCTATCTATCTTATATTATTTTTATTTGAAAAATAGTATGATAAATATTTTATTTAAAAATAATAATTATTTTTTCAATTTTTAATTTATAACAAGTAAATATTTATTAAAAATTAATATTTATCAATTATATAACTTTTATAAATAAGAGATATAATTCTGACTGTGAGTTATTAAATCTTATTTTGAATTTAGTAATTAATTTTTAAAGAGCTTCTTGATAATTTTTAATAAATTGTGAATTTTTATTTACTAACTGATTTTTAATAAATTCTAAAATCAATAAGTTAAGTTATAGCAGAAATCATTTTTATATAAAAAAAGTATTATATAATTCAATAAATCAAGTTTTTATATATTTTAAAATACTTTTTTACAGAATTATATAATTTATTATTATAAAAAAATATAATTAGAAATACTAAATAAACTTAAAATTTTTATAGTATAGAATACTATATTTCTTAAATTCTATTAAATTTTTTACTCTTGTATAATTATTACTTAATAAAAATATCTAAAAATAAGTGTTATACAGAATATAATTCTAAAGATTTAATTAAATTCTATTTATTAAGTAGTAAGTAAAGATGGCTTCTTAATTATTTATTTAAATTTTAATAGTTATGATTTTTGTTGGTAGTTGCAATATATATGCTGCAATTAGCTACAATTATATCATTAATAACATTATTAGTTTTAGCCAATCAAATTTTAGATATTATATTATTATATAATTTTAAATAAATAACTTTAATTTTAAATA